TTGTGTTACTCCTCGTTGTAACATATACTCGAGTATCGTCTCTTGTTTCTAATTGTCTCATTAATTCTTCTTCATTAGCCGGACTTAATTTCTTTGATACATTTTCGTCGTTGCTGAGCGGTATAAGAGCTTTTAAAGTATTGGTATCAATCTTGATTCTAGATAGTGCATCTGCATTTGTGTTTATCTTTCCTTTTTTGTATATAATTTCAAAATCATATTCTGACAAGTCTATTCTTATTCTTGTCATTTTGGATGAGGGGTTCTTATGTACGAATAGGGAAATTAGGGGTCTATGGTCTGTTATAACAAGAAAACGTTTGCCATAAACATATGGGCGAAAATAATTGATTGCCCAATGTATCGCTAGCAATTCCTTCTCTATAATTGGCTTATTTAAGTCGTGTTTTTGGAGAGCTTTGCTTGCATAACAAATTGGAAGGTCAGATCCAATCTCACCTTGTGAGAGTACAGCACCTAATGCATAATCAGATGCATCAGTGGTAATTATAAATGGTTTATTGAAATCGGGGTACTTGAGTACTGGTGGGTTTATTAGTTTTGATTTTAAGTTTTCAAATGCTTTATCACAATCTGAATTCCATTCAAACTTCTGGTTTTTCTTTAGTAAACGATTTAAAGGTTTTGCAATGTTTGCAAAATTGCTTATGAATCTACGGTAATAATTACAGAAAGCTACATATCTTCGTACTTCATCAGTAGTTGTGGGTTTTGGGTAGTTCATTATGACTTGATGTTTGGCCGGATCAGTTTTTATTCCGTGCTCTGTTATCAAATGACCTAAGTAAGTAACTTCATGCTTTAAAAAGTTACACTTGTCTGGATTTAATTTAAGATTGTATTCATTTAGTCTCTCAAAAACTTTCTCTAGATTTATATTATGGTGTTTCAAACTATTTCCAAAAATTATTATATCATCTACATATAAAAATGCTTCCGTTTCCAAACCTGTTAATGCTAATGTTAACATTCGTTGGAAGCTGTTAGAGCTAATCTTTAATCCGAAAGGTAGTCTTTTAAATTCGTAATGACCATCATTTGTTGAAAAGGCGGTTTTTTGTCTCGAAGAGGCGTCAATTGGTATTTGATGAAATGAGCTGGTCATATCTAAAGTGGAAAAATACCTAGCTCTTCCAAGCTTATCGAGAACATCCTCCAAACGTGTTAAAGGAAATTTGTCGTTGACTATCCTTTCATTGAGTTTTCTGTAATCAATGACGAGTCTCCAATTCTTGTTATCGTTTGTTGATTTCTTAGGAACAAGCAAGATTGGTGAATTGTAGGGGCTTTTTGACGGTTGTATTATATCGTCTTGTAATAGTTTTTGAACTTGTGTTTTTATATCATCATTATGACAATGTGGTAATCGGTAATTTTTAATGTATATTGGATTATTGTCAGTTGTAGAGATGTGTTCTGTATAAAAATTGTTTGTAGATAATGGTTCTGATTCGAGCTGAAAAATGTGTTGGTATTTTGAAATTAATGGAATTAGTGTTAGTGCATCCTCTTTCAGCTGTACCTTGTCAAGAATTTTAGCTAATCTTTGTTCAGTATAAATTTTTGATTTGTTATTTATACAGTAATAGTTATACAAAGGTTGTGACTCAATTTTTAAATCAGTTATGTTGATATCTGATTCGTTTGTATTTATCACATTTATGTGGCAAATTCCGTTTGCTGGTACTATGGTATTGGCCATGTACACTCCTTTGTTGATTTCGTTACTGAACAGAACAGTATCTGTATTAAAACGAATGTCTATAGGTAATATGTTTTGAGTTCTCGCTTTAACTGTAAATGTTTTAATTTTTATTGGAATTGTTGTGGACTGTAAGTCCGAAGTTACTGTTAGAGAAAATGTGTAGTAATCTATATTACATTTAAAATGTGTTAAAAAATCTCTACCTATTATTCCATCCACCTCAATTGGGAAGTTTGTATCGACTACTGAGAATATGTGATTTAGAAATAATCCATCAAAATTTAGGCTTAGCTTTGAAATACCTAAAGATAACTTGTGACCATCTGTAATACCAGTTAATAAGCAAGTTGTGCTAGAATCAAAATTTAAATTGTAGTTATTTTTTATAATAGACACATCAGAACCAGTGTCAATTAAAAGCTTTAAACTTTTATCAATAGTATTGCAAAATACCATTACATAATTTGATATATTAGGGTTTATATTGAAAATTTTTAATGATGTGCCAGAGGAGAATTCCCTAAGTTGTCCTCTGGTTCTGAGTAGTTTTCCTGGGCATTTAGTATCTGTACACGCCTGTTTTGGTTAGAGTTGAATTGACTCCTTGGATTCCGAGCTGTATTGTTGTATCCTGTTCTATTTCTATTCTCTCTATTGTTGGGGTACGCGTTGTTTCTGTTTCTATTGAAGTTTCTCCCATTATTGCTTCCATTTTAAGAATTGTTGTTAATTCTCTGGTTATATTGGAATCTATTTTGATTCATTCTATGTTTGTCGTATCTTCTTTGACTATGAAAACGTTATTGGGTGAAAAAGACTTGTTGTTGCATTGGTATATGCATATTTTCTGCAAACAATCTAGCTTCTGTAAAGGTCTTTGGTTGAGCTGCCTGTACAGTTTGTGAATAAACAGTATTTAATCCCTTTTTAAATGCTAACAATGCTATTTCATCATTTACTAAAAGTACGGCCTTTCCTTCCGGAGATGACTTCTTAAAATTATTCTTTAGTAATGTCGCATTGTTTAAATTCGCTAGAATGGTTGATATCTTTTCTGTATATTCGTGTATTTTCTGGTGAGGGCCTTGTTTTACTTCTGCTATCTTTTGGAGCAGTTGAGGTATGGTATCCTTTGATATGAAGTTCTTTTTTAGATTCTCTATTAGTTCAGGAAGTGAATCTGGAATTCCTACGGGGCTGACTTTGGCTCTTACTGAATGTTGTAACTTGCATTCTACTATGAAATCTAAAAATGCTTGTTTGTCAGAGTCACGTAGCTTGTCATGAATTATATTCAATCTATGTATAAAATTATTTAATTCTTCAACTTTACCGGTGAAAGTGGGTACTAGTTTTTCCACAATTTCGTAATTTAATTTTTCCATGTTTGTGCTTGTATCACTACTGTTTTCCTGGCTAACTATGTTTTCACTAGTAGACATACTTAATAAATATTGTTTAGTCAGGTTATATTTGTCGAAAAATGTTTCTGTTAATGAAGTTATTGTTTCAAACTTAGAAGTTGGGTAAATTGTTCTAACTTTACTTGACAGGTATTCTAATCTTTTTAATTTTTCGGATACTGTAGTTTTTGAATATCCTCTTGAAGCAGATTTTTTTTGCGTTTCTTTATATGATATGTATTTCAGATATACACTCAGATATAGTTTCCATTAACTAAACTAGTTGCTATTGTGTATTGGGGACATGAATATAGCTAACGATTTCTATGTACGATCTATTTTATATTAAATTGAACGAAGTGAACGATAATACTGACACAAGTGAACGAGGGACAGAGATAAAAGATAAAAGAACTTTTATTTATATATATATTTATTATTATATTAGTACATGGTTTAATATAATTAAAAGTTTTTAGTAATTTTTATTTTCATACATGTAAAGTAATTTTTATTTTCATACATTTTCATATATTTTATTTAATACTGTAATATAATATGTTACAGAAATATTATATAATTTTTACATAAAAAGGATATAATCTATTTCATCATTTTAAATTTTCAACATATTTTTAAACATTTGATGTTTGTTGTTGATGAACATGTTTGTGTACATAACTTTTGAAATATTTATTTATTCTAAATAGTACATATACAATACATATTATAATTATAAGTGTTATTATGGCTACCTGTTGTTCCGGCATGTTGACTTCTAGAATCTGGTTCTGGTTGTTGTTTACTGTGTTTGTGTCAGGTGCATCCGCGGAAAACCAACCCATGATGTTTCAGCTGCAGATGAAAATATTTTTCTTCTCTTTTTAAAATATATTTTAAAATATGCGTCGATAGTTGCAAGAAAAAATGTTTTATTCATACATGAACACACGCTTGTAGATCGTTGGATCTTTCAGTTAATTAATTAATTAATTCAGTTAATAAGTTAATTAATTCAGTTAATCAGTTAATTTCACATATTTCGCGGTTCACAATAACCTTTCACATCACATTTCACATTAATGTTCATTACTTCGAGTCATTAAGTATTAAATATTATAGTGTAGTTTTTAGTTTTATTCACATAATATTAGTTTTAATATGAAATTTTTTATACAATTTCTTTTTAAAATTCACTTTATATTCCTTTAAATGTATATATAAATTTAAATTTATTTATTAATGGTTCTTGCCATTGAGATTTGGCATAGTTCACTTAGTTTTTCTTAATTTTTATTTATTAATGGTCCTTGCCATCGAGATTTGGCAGGATCGCCATGTAAAGTTCTTTGGTTAAGAAAAGAAAGACGCGTCGTTTTGAGTGTCCAAAATAAGACTGATTTTTATTAATTTTTATTCTTAAGTCTAACATCGTTTAATACTAATTTCCAATAGAATCTTATGTATTGATTCTATTGGTTAATACTTATAATACTTGCGTCTAATTGGTTAACCCAAATTAGACGTATATACTATTCTTATAAACATAACTTATCAATAAATGGTGTACTATTAACTAATGCAAGTGTTCTACATATGGTTTCACTTGAAACCGTTTATTCTATTGACACAGTTTTGACTTATGCATATTGCACATATGGTGCAATGTGCGGCTCAGTTATTTGTCATCAAAGTAATGACAAAATAAAGGCTCATATTACCTGACAATAGTTTGTCATAAATTTTATCAAAATAGAACTGTGTCAATGTTTACTTTAAAATATTTGGAACAATTGAATGTTTTGTGATATGTGTGGTCTCATATCACATTACAATCTACATACGCACCTCTTGATATTATATCCGCTGGGTTAGACTTTGAAGGAACATGCCGCCAAATACACGTTTTTGTCTGCTCTTGAATCAATGATACCCGGTTGGCAATAAATGTGTTCCAATTTGATGGGTGCTCGCTCAGCCAATCTAGCACAATTTCGGAATCCAATAGAAATTAGAAAATTGGATTTGGTTTTTGTCACTAGTTTCGACAGCAATTTCGCAGCCAAAAGTTCCAATTTTGGTAAAGATAAAGTTTTTAATGGCGTTACTCTGGATTTAGCACTCCACAACTGCATTGTAACGTCGTTGTCCACACATACTGAGCGGATATAAATACAACACCCGAAAGCTCTTTTTGATGCATCAGCAAATCCATGCATTTCAACTCTAGCAACTCGTTTTTCTGCCAAAACAAATCGAGGCACACTTATTTTCTTGACGTCTTTTAGATTTTCGCGGAATTCTATCCATTGACTATGTAAATTCATTGGTAGGGATTCATCCCAATTAGCCTTTAATATCCACAAATCTTGCATGAAAATCTTCGCCTTTACGATTAATGGGTTAATAAGCCCAAGGGGATCAAACAACTTAGATAGTTCCGACAACACTATTCTTTTTGTCACCGCTTTCGAGCTATCAAAATCTGGCCAAACGTATCGAAACGTATCTCCCACTGGAGCCCAGATGATAACAAGAGTTTTTATTATTTCCTCATCATTCATCCGAAGAGTCTTTTCTTTATCAGCTTCAGGTACGAAATTAAGAAATTTTTCACTATTTGAAAACCACTTCCTTAACTTAAATTTTGCTGAGTTCATTATTGCTGATACTTGATTATATATTTCAAAAATTTCATCTTCATCGTTTGATCCACTGATCAAATCATCCATATAAAAATCAGATAACACCTTTCTCGATCCAATCGGATATTTATCGGTATAATCTTCACTTAACTGTTTTAAGCATCTTGTAGCTAAATAGGGGGCAGATGTTGTTCCATAAGTAATGGTTCGCAAGCGATAGCCCTTTATGTTTTCATCTGAGGAAGACCTCCACAAAATCGTTTGATAATTCGCATCATCATCAGTCACCCATGCTTGGCGATACATTTTTGTTACATCTGCCGTAATTGCATATTTGTAACATCTAAATCGCAGTATTATAGATAACAGGTCATCTTGAACCAGTGGTCCTTTCATCATTACCTCATTTAATGACAAGCCACTGTCAGTTTTACAGCTACAATCGAACACAACTCGAAGTTTCGTACTCGTGGAGTCTGGTCGTAGCACATACTGATGCGGTGCAAAATATTTTATCTTATCCATAT